AGCACCAGGCAGTGACTGAAATCGAGATCTTAACATCCCTAAAGTTCGAATCTGGTTTACATAAGATAACATCACACTTTTAGTGATAGAAAAGGCGTGTGCTATCTATTTTAAAACAATAAGGAAAGGAATAACGTGATTGGAAATTCAAGGTTCAGTGACTGACAATCAATTAGAAATTAGAACAACACTAAAATATTAACACGTACAACGAAATGCCCAATGATCAGACTTAGGAAAAAAATCATAAACTTCTGTAAGTATCTGCAAAGGTGAAAGAAAAGTTAAACACTATCAGACAATTTACAACATTTAAGTTTGCTCTATGGATCATCGAATGTGGCTTTAAATTGAGGTAGATACTCAATGACACATTTCTACTGTTCACTTTCTGAGAAATTAACATCATTAATGGAATTAATTAAAATGTCAACTATTTTTTTAATTTATGTATTAGATCTGTTCCTTGATCTACAAGTACTATATTACATCAAGAACATCTGCAAATGGCCCCACTAGATTACGTCCTGCTAGCTGAGTAGTGCAGCCTTTAGGCCCAGCTAATTAGGACGTTGAACACTAAAACAGCTGTTTTCTTCAACGTAACATTTTCTTCAATGTAACAATTTTCCTAGCAAGAAACTAGTTCAATGATGAAATGGGAAGTATATTAATGCAGATGATTGGCAATGAACAGAAACTCAATCACTGAGGTATGCTGATTATTAAGTTTACCAACAGAATCAATCAGTTATTACTGTTTTTTTAACTTGGAATGTCTATTGTGAAAGAATCCAACAAAGCTCGGGCTGTATGTATAAAGAGTCTAGTCTCCTATGATTCCCAAGTTCTTCTCATCGGTATTGCCATCTTCTAATTATCTTCATCAGATGGGTTTTGTCATAGAACACAAAGGCTCCATAATCTATGTCTGACTAATGGCCTGATCTCAATCGCTACTCCCCTACAAATTCACATTACTCTATAAATTTACAGGTTTGGATTGCATAGGATAAACAATTACTATAAACGATCAATGCTCAGATCGTGATGTAGAACACACAGCAGACAAGTTTATGTCAAAGTGGGACAGTCGCAAGCCTAAATGTGGGCCTGGTCGAAGAAAATAACTAGTTTCAAAGAAACGGTCGTAACTTTCAAACCGTACGTCGGAATTGGACAAATTATATATGAAAATCAACTATCTCGACGAGACGGAGCCATCCAAACCAACCCTTTAGGGTTTAGTTTGCATTCTCCGTTTAGCCAAATTCCTTACGGTTTGAGAGATATTTATATTTTTGTCCGTTTATACTATTTTTAGTAATATTTTAGGAGTATTTTGTTTAGGAAACAAATCCGATTTGATCTCAGATTTGACCGGTGGACTTTCCTACTAATAAGGAGTCTTTTTAGGAGTTTTAATATTTTAGGAATTCTTTTACTATTTTTGGTAGAGTTTGAGTTAATATTTTAGGAATTCTTTTACTATTTTTGGTAGAGTTTGAGTCCTTGTAGGAGTCTTGTTTCTTTTTTCTATTTAAGAAGTCCTTGTAGGAGTCTTGTTTCTTTTTTCTATTTAAGAAGAGTCTTGTAAGCCCTAGAGGCATAACTTTTTATTAATAAAATTTTGTTTTTCTTCAATATTTACTTTGTGGATTCGAAGCTTCTCATGGAATCGAAGATTGTCCTTGGTGGATTCTGAGGCTACAACTTCCGCGCTGCGTCATTAAGTTCTACCCACGCCAGCTGTCTTTAAAGATAAGGGCTACTAACAATGCCTATGCTCAATGGTCAACGCTCAAAACCTAGGGGTGGCAATGGTGGCCCAGACCCGCTGACCCAACCAGACCAGTCATTGACGCCTTGACGGGTATGGGTCAACCTAGAAGGGTTTGGGTCATATATGGGTTGACCTGATTATTAAATGGGTCGAGTCGAGTTACCCGAGCCACACAATTCGGGGTTGAGAAGAGAGCACAAGTGGGATCCTCGTAGGGTATAAACAAGAGTTAGAGAACAAAAAATGAAGAAAATGACAGTTCTTTCCTTTCACTTCTCAGCAAGACCAGAGAAGAGAGACAAGACGATGTTAGCTCTTCGTTAAATCCTTTTTAAAGACTAAATATCACTTAAATATCTTATAGTTTTCACTATTTTGCACTTATACGCTGTCTTTTTTTACATTTAAATACCCTATTATTTACATGAGTTTGAATTTTATACCCTTTCTTTTTTCTTGATATTTAAATACCTTATTGCTACTTGACTTTGCAATTATACACCCTATTTTTTTCTAAATACACTATTGTTTTTCAAAGTAGCACATAACTACCTTTTCTTAGTTAAACGTATTAATATTATCATTTAACATTGAATATTTTTGCCATAATTTTCACGTGACTTGTATATGACAAAAATTGGTCAACTATACCCCTAAAGTAGATATTTTTCAACTAAAAGCTCATTTTCAATTTTATTTACTCCCATTCCCTTCAAAAATAGTTTTTACTCGGATGGAACCAACTTTTATAATTAACCTTGTTTATCATGTGTATAGGACATGAAAACTTTTATGAGAATATTTCAACATTTAACTAAAATAAGATAGTAAACTGCTATTTAAAAAAATAGGGTATTTAAATGCCCAGAAAAAATATATAGGGTATATATGTTCAAAGTCAAGTAAACTATATGTATTTAAATGTCAAGAAAAAAAGATCGGGTATATAAGAGCAGAGTCAAGTAAGGTATGGGGTATTTAAATGTTTAGAAGAAGAAAAAGTATCAAGCACCAATTCAATCAAAAGTCATAATTGTGTCAGAAGTGCACAGTACACTGAAAAACAACAAAGACCAAGCAAGCACAGAACCCCTCGCCACAAATAAAATAAAATAGAATAAAGAGAGAGAGAACCTAAAGTACCAATAAGAAGTGTGTACAAAGAATCTGGTTCATTAAAAAAATTTGCAATTGCTGACGATTTATACATGTCGGAAATGGCTACCCATTTAATAAACAGGTTGGGTACATTGACCCGTTTATTAAATGGGTCAGGTTTGGGTCAAGTGTATATGGGTCAAGTCAAAGCTGACCCAACCTGAAACGACGTGACCCGACACATTTTCCACCCCTCAGCCCTACCAAGCAAACTGCTATTTCTATGGACGTGATGTATCCTATCAGATAACGGAAAGACAGAGCTTTTTGCTATAAAATTCTACTATTAAAATCAAAAGACAAATACGTTGTGTGTTTTGATGCACTTCTAAATATATTGTTTCACCACGATCTTAGACATCCCAAATTTCAGAAAATAGTTCTTTTTTTACATGAGCTTAAAATAGTTGATCAAATGAACTTGCTACTTCAAATGCAAATCAACAACTGAGAGACCAACTATTCCATGTAGATGTTTGAAATTAGACATCACAAAAAAAAAAGAAACAGATGAACACTTCAATTGATATTGACAACTTAATACAAGACCTTATTTCCAATTCTACCGCCTTGTTTGGCACCCGAGAATGGATGGGAATAGAATGCTCATTCCCACTTCTAGCGTACACTATCCTTTTGAAAGCTAGAACTCGTATTCTCACTTCTTGATTATTCCAAAATTTAGTGGGAAAGAGCCTTTCCGATGTGATGGTAGGGAAAAAATTCAAATAATTTACAAATATATCTCCATTGCTTATCAATACTCAATACCAAAAAGAAAAAGATTATCATTGTGACTTCATTCTCTATTTGTACCCAAACATTTGAATATAAATGAGCATTCCGCTCTCATATTGATTCCATTTCTATTTTTTACTTTATTTCATTCTAACATGACTCAATTCTCATGTATCAAATGAGGCGTACGGGTTCAACCATTTTCTCCTATCAACTCTGTAGAGGACAGTCTCCCGAGTTAACCTGACAGCTATATTATTCTTTTAATTTCCCTACGTACATGTTCATTTGTGTTTAAGTGTAGTCCTCTTGCTCCATAAACTTAGACCCAAAGCTACCATGCTAAACATCATTTTCCAAACTCATTATTTATCAACGGCTCGCATTCTATATTTCTGTCCACTTCTAAGTTTCCGCCGCTTCTCTTCTTTTAATTTTTATCTTCCTTCACTTCGACCAGTAGTTGATCACTGTTGTAAAAAGCCCCGCTTTTGGCCGCTTAAGCGGCCCGCAAGGCGAAAGCGGTGCCTCACCACTATGCTTTCGTCAAAAGCAGCCAACGAAAGCGGACGTGACACTTTCTGCTCGAAAACACGTCAGAAAACTCATAAAAATGGTGTCAAGCATTTAAAAGCATTGAAAAGCACTTTTAAGTGCTTACCAACATTTTTAAAAAAATAAAATACGGATTTATATTAAACCGGCCCAAACCCGAACTTGGCTAAATTTCTTAAGTAAACCCTATGCTTCTCTCTATCTCTCCTCTCTGTTTCTGTGACTCAAGACAAAAATAAACCCTAACCCTAACTCCCGCTCCAGGCGCCTTGCCCACTACCTCTAGCTAACTCCATCGCCTCTCTCCACCAAATCCTCCTCCAAATCATTCTCCAAGAAGCTCTGCCTTCACCATCACCATCATGACATCACCTTCTCTTGAGCTCCTCATCGAAGCTCACCATCACCAGCTCCAGTCGAAGCTCACCATCACCAGCTCCGGTTGAAGCCGCTCCACCGACTTCTCCGGTCGAAGCAACATCCTCATGGTCCTCTCCTCTGACTTATTTAAATTGGACCGCTTTTTTACTTCTTGTTTTTTATCGCTTCTTGTCAGTAAAACCCTAAAAAGCTTGAGTGGTGGCTCACCGCTACGCTCTGCCTTTCGCTTTCCGCAACTTTGCAGCTGATCACATGTTTCATGTCATACATGTCATGGCCTACGTGCTAGATCCTTCCTTCCCTTTCACAGAAAGGAAAAAAACACCATCTTAATTAAGATAGCAACTGAGTATCTGGATTCTTCCTTATCTTACTTTTTGACTATCTTGCGGAGAATGCCAAGGCATACTTTTCCTCGCATCTTCCAGAAACATGCATGAGAACTACCACTTGCCAGTGTGTCTCAGACCAAATATCACCAGAATAGTTATGGGAAAGGTAACAGTCCCTTTTGAGTCCAATAAAATAACTGATGATGCATATTCTTCTCTCCCAATCTTCTGTTAATTAAAAATAAATAAATTTAGCATATTTTTTGTGACTTCAGTGCATTGCTGATGGGCTAATCTTTAATATCGCCCATGTTTTATAAAGAAACTAGAATTACATATGGTGCAAACTTGCTGATGCAGCTTCTTGCGCTATTCCTTTATTGTACTAAGATGGACAAAAAAATTAAACTGTATCCCACACAGACTAGCTACATTATCTTCAGGCCCATGAGAATCTGAGTAGCTAACACTCATAAAGACAAACATATATATCTATCATTACATATGTAGCAATCATCACTTCAACGCCTAAGTTTGTATTATCTGGTTTAAGTCACATTTTCTAATGCAACTGAATGCGTGAAACTGGGATGCCCAGCCACTAACTAAGATTCAACGTTCTAAGGATATAATCACTAAGATTCAATGTTCTAAGGATATAAGTACTTTGAGACAAGCAGCGCTTGTTTGGTATATACTGCAGAAATTTGAAACTAATTGAAGAACAAAATAAATTTAAATGCTTCACCCACCTCACCCAAACGACGATATGCACCATACATGCCGCCGACTAATGTGGAGAAAATCGCATACCAGATCTGGGTATCCATGAAATAAACCTACAAAAACTTGCACTAGAATTAGGAAACAGAAATTTTGAATTAGCACATGAGCAATTAGAATATTGGAACAGGGAAGGCATACAAGAACAATTGGCGCCCATAGTGCAATAACAACACCGATGTTGTTCTTAGCTGCAAATAATTTATGAATTGGTTTCAGAAGCATTCAGAATAAAAATTTCATTTAAAATACAAATCTTTCATATTGATACCTCGGGGAAAAAACTCATGCCACTGGAAAGTCGTGATGGGCACCCTCATGATATCTTTGGTAGGTTCAACAAGAGGCTTGATCTGCAGTATCAAATCCATGAGAAATGGCAATGAACAAAGAAGGGCCAAAAGAATCTCAAGAGCTCGTAACATACTTAAAATTTCCACGAAAACTGATAGATGTAAAGTTTAGATTGGCCAAGCCTGTGAACTTCATTTTACAATTGTTTTCAGATAAACTTGAGCCAGGCACATTCCACTCTAAGAAATGTCTTATAAAGTTAGCTACTTTGAGTAACAGCCATCTCATAACATTTAAATTAATCTTTTAAATGCAACTTTAAGACCTTGTTTTGTTGGCTTTTGCAAATTAATTGACATATAATGTCCATATGATCCGACAGAAACTATGCCAAAATAATTTCAGGAAGTTGCATGATTGAAGAGAACTCAAGACAGTCAGAGACTGTCAGACCAAACTATAGCAAGCAAACACCATCCCGTTTTATATACAAGTCCAAAGTTACAACTGCAATTTGGAAATCTAGGTACCCTCAGAAGAAAAAAATATAGACACAACTATCCAAGTAGCAAACATAAATAAAGAAGAAGCATCGTTTTTATAATAAAAAAAGCATTGATAAATACCTCGATATAATAGCTAAATGTCAACTTTGTGACAAGCAGCAGCACCCAGAACATTGTGTACCTGCCATTAAACAATATTGAGAAGGAGTATTCACCATACCAAGTCACAATCACTATCCACCAAAAAAGAGAATGTGATTTATCTTACATGAAAAGTGAAAATGCGCTCTCATGCATTGCCCTTCCAACATACAGACGTGGCTGCCATTTTTAACTTAGAATAAGCATAAATGGCAAAATATTTGAAAACCAAGTAAAAATTGATACAGGGGCCAAATCCATAAATAACTGAGGTCAAGTTATACTTCTAAGGTTGAAGATTCAGAAATACCTGAGACCACCACATCATAAGCATTACAATCCTATAGTCCGAACTTTCCAGTACCCTTCTCATAAAAGGAAAAAGGAAGAGTAAAGCAGAAAGCATGTTTGGAGACAAGTATATGAGCACTGCCAAAATGTAAAGAGAGGGCTGATGTTGCCCATTTCCTATCCAACTCTTGATAGTCCTTGCCAGTCCAGTGGGATTCTCCCAAGTATAGGCATAGGTCACAGGTAAAACTATCACCCAAGCAGCTGCCGAAACGACCTTTAAAATATACCTCAGCTTAACTGCAAAAGACATGCTCATTCTTGCTTTCCAGCTAAGGATGATATCGAGGACAGCTGCAAAGCAACCAAAACAGGTATTAAACGCTCCAGGATAATGGACTCAATCGTGTTTCATAGTCACACCACTGTGATGCGAAAAGGATTATACAATGATGATAAGTATGCAAACATATCTTAACCAACAAAATTCCACAGAAGTCTTTGAACAAGAAAACTATACAATTTCAAAACTATAGTAAACCTTACGATTAATCGCCTAAAGAATTCTGGAAACTGCAAGAAGAAAAGTATTTGACAAAGTTTTTTGGTTAACGACTTATCCAGCATAGATATAGAATTATAGATACGAGAAACTAAAGGTCTATTCCGATTGTACCCATAAATTAGGATTAGATTAAACTTGTGAGTAGAAGAAATGTGCACTGCAGTCTTTATCACACTTGACATATGTTACCTGGGTACCGCACCCGACACGGACCTGATACATACCCATACCCATACACAAAGTCATTGGATACTCCTTTCATAAATGCATAAATTTATTCAAGCATGTATACAATTATACAATACAAGCTTTAATTTAAAACACTAGTCATAAATTTTTTGGACATATTTTTCACTTCACACCCACTTTTTGAAACACGTTGGACATAGGTGTAGTTCCGAATTACGATTTAGAAGGGTTGTTTGGATGACTAATTAAAAAAATAGTGATTTTCCAGTTTATAACCCACATAAATAAAAGAAACATAAAAAGCTGATAGGACTTAATCCTCATCCTTGTTCTCCTATAAATTATCAATTCCTATATATAATATATGTGCATATAGATATGTACATAGTTGTGTCCCTGTAACCTACCTTTTACAAATTTATCGTGTCCCTTAACCGTAGACGTACAGGCACCCGTACTTGTATCCATGAGCACTTGATATTTAATAACCAATTGTTTCTATCTCACTACCCGACTGTGCAGTCTGGCTTCCGAAATATTAACCTTCAAGAATAACAAGTTCCAAACCACGATATAAAGCCATCTAATACAAGAGGTTATGAACTTAAAATAACATTTTATTTGCAAATGTTCTATAAGGTCAAAACTCAAGATAGCTACGAAAATTTTGAACTTCAGATACAGTTAGATGAAGCACATTGCTTAGCCCAAGTCATCTGTCCAAGAAAATACTAGAAAAATAACCACCACCACCAAAATGTATGGGGTCGGCTACACAAATCATGTTCTTCCACTCCATTCTATGGGCATCTCCTCCGTAAAGTTCACTATTTGCAACAGTTAGAAGTTTTTTAGGTCTACTTCTAGATCTCTTTGTTCCATTACCTATAATATTATCACTTTTCTAACCGGTGCGCTAAGATGTCTACGTTGTATATGTCCAAACCACCTTAATCGATTTTCTCTCATTTTATCTTCAATAGGAGCAACTTCTAATTTACTATGACTGCACTCATTTCTTATCCTATCTTTTAGTTTATACACACAAGACCATCTCAACATTTTCATCTCTATTTTGTGCTACACTCATTTTTTGCACATATTTTTTAATAGCCAAACATTCTTATCTATAAATTGTTGGTCTTATAACCCACCTATAAAACTTTTTCTTTAGTCTCATAGGTATTCTACGCTTACACAAAACTCCTGAAGCACTCCATTTTAACAATCCGGATTTCATTCGATTAACAACATCATCCTCATTCTGAATAATTGATCCTAAATAGCGTAAGTAATTACTTTTTGATATTTCTTGACCATCAATATATATTATAGGCTCTTTTCTATTTTTAATTTTACTAAAAATGCATTCCATGTTTGTTGTTTTTGTTTTACTAATTCTAAATTTTTTAATTTCAAGAGCTTGTCCCACTTTTCTACTTTAGAAATTATATCTTTTCTAGTCTCATCAACTAATATTATATCATCAATAAATAACATAAACAATGGCACTTCATCCTGAATACATCTAGTAAGGTTCAAAATTTAAAAAAAAAGGCTTGACGCTGACCCTTGATGTTAACCTATGGTAATAGAAAACAGCTTAATCTCTCCTTCATTAGTTCTTACTTCGGTTGTTACTCTATCGTATATATCTTTAATCACATCAATATATATATTAGATAACGTTTCTTTCTAAAACCAACCACATTATCTCTCTAGGCACCCTATCACGAGCTTTTTCTAGGTCAATAAAAATACTATGAAAATGAATACCATAAATCGTAACACCAGCACTGATAATAGTGGTAGCGGTAATATATCAGAAAGAATTATTCCTTACTCACAAAAAATTGATTTAAGAAATCCTTATGCAAAATTGCCTTTGCTAATGAGTAGCATTGTTAGACAGGACAAATTTAGTAGCATGTATGAATGACATGATACTGGATAAATGCTTAACACCGCTGCCACAAACATTTCCTTGGACTAAACCATAGGCACAAGCTAATATCATTAGTCAAAGATATTTCCATTTTATTTTCCCAAAGAGGAAAATAAAGTGGAGAACAGGTATTCTACTGCTTCAAAGTGGAGGCAGAGAGTGGTATTAGCAGCTATCTCCCTCAGCATTTGAATTTAGTCAAGGAAGAATCCACATTTAAGAAAGCCAGCAAATTTTGATCCAACTCAACATGCCTTTATGTCCTACAGTCTTCTTGCTTTATCAACATTCAGTATCAATGGGTTAGTTGAAAATTAAGAGGTACAACTTGCTAACATGTGTGTTTTACCTTGTCCCAGCTTAAGTATAGCAGCAGTTATGAAGATGCTCAACACCTGCTTGAATACTCCATAATCAAAGATATCACTTGGTGAGCCACCATTCCAAGCCAAGATAATCATGACCTACATACAAATGGAAAGTTATCAGTAAAATAAAACAATTCAAAAGTCCAAACTTAAGAATAACGAAAAGAGAAGAGAATATAAACGAACAGAACTGATCACCTGTAGAGATAAGACAAAGAAACTCCACATTCTGTCAAAACTGCGAAATATATGCCAAAATGAACGAATCTCGACAAAATTGATTTTCCCAATCCAGCGATCTACGCTAGGTGATTTCTCCTTAACAAAAATATCAGATAAATTAGCACTTCAAACTTGTTTGAAGAAATACTTGAAAAACCACAAAAATTGATAAAACATGATTTTTATCATAGCAGTTGAAGCAGCCAAACAAAGTGTTAAACTATTCTTTAACAAGTTTTCTTTAAGTCAAAATTGATGACCCAGTCCCTCATCCATATTAATTTAACCTCAGCACACTTAACTATAGAGAGTAATAGTGGCTCCTCCTTAAAGGTGCAAACTGCAATTAATTTTTGACTTCATAAAGGCCAAGCTACTGCCTTCAATGAAGCTTTGACTACAAGCATCATGAGGAGATATTTAAAGGACATTCTGAAAATATTTGTTTAGTTCTAGTCAACCACAATATTCATTCAGATTGCTACAATAATTTGGATAGGAAAAAAGTAGGTTATGTACCAAATAGTGTTTCAACAGTACTCAACACTTTCTCGTGTTTCATTCTGAGCATCTGTAGTTTCTTACTAGCCCTGCTCAAATATCTACACATAAAAGAGCTTTGAGACAGTTACACCCATTTTCTCAGCGAAAATCTAAAATGATTTTCAGCAACTAGAAAAACCTCATCCAAATGTTTACTGATAACTCCCCACTTTTTTAGCCAAATAGTACAATGATTCTTGTAGAAATTGTCATTTTTTTCACAAAAGTGGCAAAAAAATCTTTTCCTTGTTCTCAATCTAATATCCTTGTTAACTGGTATGGTAAGTATTGTTGATGTTACATAAATTTCTAGTGACATATCTAAGAAGTATTTATCCACATAGGTTTCACATAATTATAGAAGAACTTTTCAGCTGCTTCTCATTCATTTTTCTGGTGTTATTTCAAACATTTGTTAGTAGTGCCACAAACTCTTTATTATTTGCAAGTTCGGGATTTTCATGCCCTACCATATTTCTTTTTCTAGCTCAAGATAGTCGGTCAGGTCACTAAAGACATGTACGTCAGTAAATGGATTTGAAGGGGCTATGTTATTTGAGTAAGGCTATAAATAGCAAATAAATAACCAGAGGTGATAAGCACAATGATAGCACGGTCTGGATTAAGATGCTAATAATGAAGGAACAATAGGGGGGTTGAGGGTATGTATACTAAATGCAAATGATCGAACAGAAAAAGGCGAGGAACAGGTCAAAAAAGGAAATGCACAATGCACGCGAAACGAAATCAGCTTTGTGTTGCTTGGATCATACGGATGCAACCAGTTTCCAAGTATATTAAGCAATAATGGGAACATAAAAACCAACAAGCATTACTTTAAATATAAACCTTGATCGGTTGCTCCACTAGACCAAAGAAAAAAAATCCAGTTAATATTTTCAAAATACCATAAATTACAATTTTATTGAAGATTCTGTAATTGAAAAATAATTCTGACAAAGTAGTGAGGTCTAGAAAAAAAAGAAGAAAACAGATTAAAAAACAAAATACAATCGAAATTGCCAAATGGAATTACTCACCTCATTTTTCTCCCCATGTGAATTTGGAGGTGGACTAAAGAAATCAGCATCAGCGCGCATCGGCCAACCTAAGCGGAAACAGTCAACTGACCTGCATTCATAGAGGAATTTTATCTTCTCTGTTACTGCACAGACAATCAAGAAAATTTTTGCATTTTAGTTTTATCTATATTATTACCAAAAATATTCATTCAAGTCATCATAGTTTCTCCATTGAGAATGTTTGGATTTTTCCCTCTTGCTCTTCTCTGCCTCCTGTACTAAATAATCATATTAGTAAAATAACCGGTTAACAAATAACATGGAGAGCGATTGAACCCTGATAGACAGATAAACAAACAGCAATGGCACCTTTGCTATTGTCTTGTAAATGGGAGTCACAACTTTTTTTAAAAATGCTTCCTCATCGCCTCCATAGGCTGGTTTTATATTCTCACCAGTCATTGCGCTTACATTCCCAGCCAGCATGCCATATAGTTCAAATGCCATCTGGAAAACAAGGAAAAATATCAAAATAAAATCATATATTGCCAATAATAATACTGAAGAGCCAGAACACAGTTAAATCGGATACAATTAATGAAACCAATAGAAAATTAAATGAATGTCTACAAATATGTAGTCAACGTTATGAAAGTCAAAGCAAACTCTCTAAATAATTTCATCCCTTACACTTCACAACTATATAAAGTTCTGTAATCTACAGTTAATTTTTAGTGATGCCCTTCTCAGCTTTATTGCAAATTCACACAACATAATCTGTCTGCTTGCTTATTACGTTCATTTTCATATAGTCAGTTTAACACCCGGTGAATAATAACAGACAGGGAAGCACAATAAAGAGTTCACCTGAAGACTGATGGCACTCTTGGAAATTAAGAATGCAATTAAATCACATTGGCAAAAAAAATTAATATAGAATGCAATTAAATCACTTGGCAAAAAAAATTAATATAGAATGCAATTAGTTCATTACCTTAATTGAATTACTGACACATAAATTTCTAATCGCAAAACTAAAATACTATTGGAAAAACTATTTGCAAATGAAAAGCAACGAAAAGTTTTTTTTTCGTTACACACGTGATGATAGATGTAGCAAAGGCATTCGGGCATGAATCGCAAATTTGCAGCTTCACCCCATATAAGAAGATATAGACCCATATAAAAAAGTTTCCGCTGCTGATTCCTGCTGAATAGTTGGCAACGTGAAAAGAATTTCAATAATCAATGAAATGTGTAAATCAAACCGCTCTTTCAATATATCTAAAAGAACAAAAATCCTAAATACATAAAACCAATAAATTTTCTCCCCTTTCGTTGAAGTTAAATTATCCATAATATCCCCCCCCCCCCAAAAAAAAAAAAAAAAAACGAACACCCAAACACACACACACACACACATGTATATATGTATGTACACACACAAATATAGGGAAATGTGATCCTAAGGTGATACCTTAGATTCAATCTAAGGAAGTGCCTCCAAAACTACATTATATGCAATTAGTTTACTTAATCCTCTGTTCATTTCAATTTGTATGTTTTGGATTGTCTGTTAATAAAAAATTAGGTATATTAGATTTAAGTTACTCATGCATCAAGTGATTGTAAAATTAACGGTTTTACGATTATATAACTAAAGAGACAATGAAAAATGTGTTAGAAGTATTGAAACATCATGAATTTTGTTTTATAGATGTTTTGAGACATTTAGATCATGATGAATGGAGCAGATCATCAATTTGAATAGTCTAATCCTATGTAGCACGGACACGGATCCGACACGGCCATCCAACACGCTGACACGAGACAAATCCTAAAAAATACATAGGATACGTGTGTTCGACACGTGTGTCCGACACGGACACGACACGACACGGCTTCATGTTATGCGTGTCCGTGCTTCATAGGTCTAATCCATGGATCAAGAGGCGCTTCCTTAGATTGAATGTAAGGTGTCACCTTAAGAACACTTTTCCCATATATGTATGTATGTACATATATATACATATATATAGACACGCTCATTATTCTCATTATATATACTCATTACTCTCATACATACATTCATTATTCTCATTATATATACTCATTATTCTCATTTATACAAGGTTTTAAATATCGGTTATCGGGGATTTATCGGACGGTCAAAATCCTTATCGGATAGCGGAAATCGGTGATATATCGGAGATAAGTAGTATTTATCAGAGTGATATACTAAATGGTGTATATATATAATATAATAATCAAAAAATGTAATCTAATCATACTTGATGAAATATAAACATACCAAAATATAAATAATCATGCTTAGAATCACTAACCAATTGTAGAAAACGAGTCGGGTCGGATTTAACAACTCACTAAATAACTGCCCATTACCCGAAAGCTCAACTCAAAATTTGGCCCGATAAGGCCGATATTTAGAGCCTCCCTTATCGGGTGATAAGTACCTTTATCGCTGATAAGTCACCGATAAACCACACAAAACTATAACCGATTAAAAATCCTACTTATCCTAGCGGAAAGCTCCTAAATCCGATAACTCGGCGATAATTTCGAATTATCGGCCGATATTTAAAACCATGCATATATATATATATATATATATATATATATAATTATATATATATAATACTAATATATATATATATATTTAAAGAAATTAGGGTATCGCTTTGGTACCAAGCACAAATTTGTGCTTGGTAGTGAGGTGGCACATATCCTCTCCCATCATTGCAAATATGGGACACATTCACATGGGTTGAGGAGTGAATCGGGAATATGCAATCATATTAAATGAAGTGAAGAAGATTATGTCATCTCCTACCAAGTTTTTGGCTGGGGTACCAAGCAACCGATCTTTCTTTCTTCTCCTCTCTCTCTCTCTCTTCTTCCTCTCTCTCTTCTCTCTATATATAATATATATATATATATATATATATACTATATAATATATATAATAGATATATATATATGCACATATGTCTATTATATAATAGAACACATGCATATTATATATATGAGAAATATGGAGAAACGTTAATACAAATTTCTCCCATTTGAACTTGATAGTGAGGTGGCCAAATCCCCACCTACTTCACGCCTCGAAGAGAGAGCCTCACCTACTTTTAAAAATAGGCTGCTTCATCTCTTCGAGACGTGAGTAGGGGGTGATTGCCACCTCACACGCAAGTTCATGAAAGAACTTGGTACCAAGTTTCTCCATAATTTCTCTCTCTCTCTCTCTGCCTCTCCCTTATATATATATATATATTATATATATATATGCGAAAATTTTCAAAACCACCCCTTTTGGGTTTTTATTTGTAAAAAACGACCCGTTTTGAAAATAATTGTAAAAACCGACCTGGTTTCAGCCTCAGAGCTGAAACCAGGTCGGTTTTTATAAAAAAAATTTTGAAACTTCACGGGAGTTGAACTCCCGTGAAGTTTAGCAGCTTTTAATTAAGCTGCTAAACTTCACGAGAGTTCAACTCCCGTGAAATTTTATTACTGAAACAAACTTCACGCCCGTGAAGTTTATTATAGTTCCAAAACTCCACGCCGCGATGCTGATGGACTGGTCTCGAGACTACAGATTTCGCTGGAAGATGGCTTTTCCCTTGTCGCCAGCACACGTGTAGCTCCAACCAGAGCCTTGCGGGCCCCACATCTCCACCCTGGCGAAAACATCTTTGTCTCACCCTACAGCTCCAGGACAATAAACACTGTAAAATCCATCGATTCTTTATCTCACCCTACAACTCCAGGCCAATAAACACTGTAAAATCCATCGGTCCTTTATCTCACTGTAAAATCCATCGGTCCTTTATCTCACCCTTCAGCTCCAGGACAAAAATCATTGAAAAAGCCATCGGTCAACTCCATTGGATGGCCTTTTCTATGTCCACTTTTCAAAGAAGAAAACAAATAAGTAGGTTCACGATGTGAACATCACTGGAAGATGTCCATTTCTATGTCCACTTGTCAAAGAAGCACACAAATAAGTAGGTTCACGAGAATACATATTTCGCTGGAAGATGGCCTTTCCCTTGTCGCCAGCACACGTGTGAACATATAAACGGTAAAAATTTCACGGGAGTTCAACTCCCGTGAAGATTTAAGAACAAATTAAACTTCACGGGAGTTCAACTCCCGTGAAGTTTAAAAATACACTAAACTTCACGGGAGTTGAACTCCCGTGAAGTTTTAGAAATTTTTTTACAGAAACCGACCTGTTTTCAGCGCCTGGCTGAAAACAGGTCGGTTTTTACAATTATTTTCAAAACGGGTTGTTTTTTACAAATAAAAACCAAAAAGGGTCGGTTTTGAAAATTTGTCCGTGAAGTTAATTAGATTGAACTTTATCGGGTACGGTATTGAATCCTATTCTCTTAGATAGAGATACGGAATACCCGTCTTCTTTACCTCCTGAGCGGACATCAAAGCATTGACTTTGTTTTCAAGGTCTTGCATTTTCTTGTCCTTATATATATATATATATATATATAACATGTCATCAACATAAATCAAGAGTATCACATAAAATTCGTCATACCTCTTGATGAAGCAGCAGTGGTCTGTATTGCATTTGAGAAAACTGTTCTTCATAAAGTTCTCGAACTTCATGCACCATTGTCGCGGAGCTTGCTTCAGGCCATACAAGCTTGCGCAGGCGACACACGAAGTCCTCCCTGCCTCGTTCCTCGAAGCTCACTGGTTGATGCATATAGATCTCCTCCAAATCTTCATCTTCATGAAGGAATGCCATCTTCACATTTGCTCTAGATGGAGATCTCGAATTGGCACAATGCTCAGCACATCCGGATCGTGGTCATCTTGACGATGGGAGCGAAAACGTCAGAATAATCTATCTCTACTTTCTGCTCATAGCCCTTCACTACAAGCCTCACCTTGTAGCATCTCCGTCCATCGGCTTCATCATTAACCCGATAAATCCACCAATTGTGAAGAGCCTTTCGCCCTCTTGGAAGTTTTACGAGCTCTCAAGTCTCATTCTTCGTCAAGGATTTCATTTCTTCCTCTATAGTAGACTCCCACTCACCCCGAGCTTTGTCGGTCTGTTGTATCTCCTCATAGCTCTCTGGCTCACAATCGTCAGTCAGGAGAAGATAATTCATGGTGAAAATGTACCTCTGGCACCTTCGGATTTCTTAGAGCTTTACGAACTACGATCGACAGCTCTGTTGGATCTTGCTATTGTGCATCCAGCACGTTCTCTTGCTCTCCGTCTTCTATGCTGACTAGTATCTCACCGTCGTCCCCATTGTCAGGCGTCAGCAATATCTGGAAAGAGAGGGAGACAGCTCTCACTCACCTCTTTGGTCTTGTACACTGCATCTTCATGGAACACAACGTCACGACTGACACCACCTTACGCGCGTTGTGATCCCAGAAACGATACTCATACTCATCTCCTCCATAGCCGATGAAAGAGAGCTTTTTTGACTTTGGATCAAGCTTTGACCGGTTTGTAGTATTAGTCATGACATAGACGTCACAACCAAATACTCATAAGTGCTCTAGTTTTAGCTTCTTTCCGATCCAAGTCTTTTCAGGTATCCTATAACTGAGAGCTGCGGATGGCCCGTGATTGATCAAGTATGCAGCAGTATTCACAGCATCGACCCAAAAACTCTTGGGCAATCCGAAGTGGATCCTCATACTTTTGGTGCGATCCAAGATAGTGTGATTCATACGCTCTGCCACTCCATTGTGTTGAGATGTGCCTGAAACGGTCTTCAGACTCCTAATCCCATGGGACAAGCAAAAGTTCTCGAACTCCTGATTGCAATACTCGCCTCCATTATCAGACCTTAGACACTTCAGCTTATTGCTTGCTTCGTTCTCCACACAAGCAAGCCACTTCTTGAAGATGATGAAAACATCTAACTTGTGCTTCAAGAAGAACACCTACAGTTTTTTAGTATCATCATCAATAAAAGAGACAAAGTAAAGAGAGTTACCAACATGTGGGTTGCCAACATGTGGGACTTGTGCAGGTCCCCACACGTAGGTGTGCACCAACTCTAATTTCTGCAGTTTTAGAGTCGGTCCGGTCTTGTTAAAACTCTCCTTTTTCTGTTTGTCTAGAATGTGGTTCTCATAGAAAGTCTGATTGATCTTGCTCAGACCCGGAAACCTCTCTCCTGTGGCCATAATCTGCATCCCCTTCTCGCTCATGTGGTCAAGTCGCCGATGCTAAGTCATGCAGTCGACGGATGATGATGATGCTTGTCCTGCAGCAAGCAAGCGGTCGATCTTCTCATTGACGATGTAGAGAGACCCTTCGCGTTTACCGTGTGCTATCACCAGGACACCCTTAGACACCTTCTAGCTTCCCTGCTCGAAGGATACTCTGTAACCAGAGTCAGTCAGTTACCCAACTGATATAAGATTTCGTCTGAGATCCGCTACATGCCGAACGTTGTTCAACGTCAAAGTGGTCCCGCCCTCCATCTTGAGGGTACAATTTCCCTTATATATATATGAGAATAATAAGTGTGCGTGCGTGTGTATATATATATATAAGAATAATAAGTGTGCGTGCGTGTGTGCGCATATATATATAAGAATAATAAGTGTGCGTGCGTGTCTCTCTCTCTCTCTTTATATATATATATATACGAGGTACCGCTTAGGCTATTTCGGGCTATTGCGGTAAAATAGCGGCAAATAGCGCATGGTCAAATAGCGGTCAAATAAAAATATATTTAAATATTCTAATTAATAAGAAAAATCATATAAAAATCTAAAAATTCTATAAATGCATACTTGATGCCTAAACATGAAATAGATGTGCAATAATTACATAATATTAACTAAGTACTATAATTATAAACATTAAAGAATGAAAAAGCATACTTGTCATTCAATAACTCAATAAGTTATAAATTTATAACGATTTGATTGATTTCAAATGTTGATTATACAGGTTTTCTGGAAGTTAGAAATCTCAAGGGCACTGATCATTTCGGTGCAGCTGCTGATTATGAAGATCAAGTCGTTTATCGCATACATATTAATTAGTTGTATTGTAAATTTCTTGTATTATCAGTAAATAACAATATTATTGAGAATTAAGCCTCTTCATTCCACCTTAAGCTTTCTCTGTTTTGCATGAAAGAAAGAATTGCAGATCCTGTGCTATGACCTCTCCAGCAAGATTGAACTATGGGGAGAAAACTCTCCTGCTCAACCCACATAGATAAAAATTCTAAATGGCATTCCTATTGACATCCTCTTTAATTAAATTAACCAGTTAATTGATAAGCTTGTTGTATGAATAAACTATGAAGAAATTCAAGAAATATAGCATCATAATTAAATTAGTTGATTACATTTTCCTCTGTTACAGATCTAGCCAACAGAGATGGAGATGTCACCGGAGGGAAGCTCGTCGAAGACTCGGAAGTCGTCGCTGGAACCGTGGAAGTCGCTGGGAGCTAGAGCTCGAGCTAGAGCGGAAGTAGATGGAGCTGTAGCGGAAGTCGCTGGAGAGAAGCAATCGGGAGGCGCTGGAGCGGAGACTCAGAGAAAAGGAATCGTCGTGGAAAGAAGGAATCGTCGTGGAATCGTAGAAAGAGGCGGAAGTCGCTAGAGCAATCGGGAGGCGGCTAGGGTTTGGGGGGGGGAGAGAAGGAATCGTCGTGGGAGAGGGTTTAATTGTAACGAGTGGGTTCGGGTTCGGGTCGGGTTCAGGGCGAAAAACTTCATATATGTGCGATAGCGGTTTAGCGGGTTTAACCGCTTTTAAGCGGTAATAAGCGCTTTTACGCGCTATTCGAATGAATAGCGGGTTTTCCCGCTTAAGCCAGCCGCAAAACCCCTACGTGTATCGCTGAAGGGCCGCGATCACTATTCACGCCACTATAGCCCCGCTATTCGCCACTATTTACAACACTGATATATATCAATTATCCAACCTATGTGCACCCATACGAATGTGGTCACTCCTAAATAAGTGAATGAGAATGAGCCATCTCACTACCAAGGACCAATTTTGTGCTTAGTACCAACAATACCCGTTATTCTATGTATGTATATAAATATATATATGCAAAACATCATGTGTATATATATACATACATAGATATACATACACGCACACATACATATATATAGGCAAAACATCAAGATTGTACATATTGTGTGTTGTGTGTGTGTATGGGAAAAGTGTGTGTATATATATACACACACACACACATACATACATACATATATGTGTGTGTACATATGTATATGTGCATATATATATATATGTACGTGTGTGTGTATATGTGTGTGTATATATATATATATATAGAGAGAGAGAGAGCAAGACTCCTATCAACTTAAGTTGATGTCCACCAAAGTTTTCATATGCGTGTGTTTGTATGCATATATGTGTGTGTGTACAATCTGTATTATATATATACATATATATAGTCTGCGTGTGTGTATATACATATATATACACACAATTTGTGTATATGTATACATACAATCTGTACACACACACACACACATGTATATATATATATATATATGCAACACACACACACATGACAATTTTGTTGTCTTGCCTACGAGAAGATCTAGCTTCAAACTAAAATTGCTAAGGCAGTAAGGATGGCGGAAGGTATCTCAGGTAGGAAAAGTGCCCTACCTCAAATTTCTTTATTATATATAGAGTTGGCCCTTTCATCATTTTTTATTTTCTTGACATGCTTCTATAGAAATTAAATACATAACTGAAGTTTTCATACTAGAAAATATTAATAGTTCAAAATTTTATGCTTTATTTAGTTGTAGAGATTAGTTTGCCCTTTTCAGTAAAAATAACAATCATGTCTTCTAATAATATTCTGTGTTATAGGGTTGAATACTCGGGTTCCGACAGCAAGGCAGGATGCATAATTGTCAACTACAAATCAAGAAGAATTTTGGACAAAAAAATTAAAGAATTATGTTAAAGAAAAAGGTTAGGAAAGTGCAATATAAAATCTTTAGAATCCTACCAGAGGCTACTCTTACGGTCCAAATACTTGCACCACTTCTTGTAGTTCCTAAAGAGTTTCTTCATCACGGCAGTTAATGCACTCTCGTCCAACTGCAACATCTCAGCAAGTCATCAGTAAGCCATGAAACACAAAAAGGAGTTCTGGAGTTAAAACATAACAGAAATATAACTTAAAAAAACCTTCGGTTGCTGATCAGGCTTTGGAAATTGGCGAATATGGACATTAGCTAGCAACAAAATCAGATGTTCTCTTTGATTAGAAACATTATCTTTCTGCATATAGAAGCATAAGAAAAACTCATGATCAAAAATAAATATATAAGAAAATAAATTGTGTCAAAAGTTACAAAATGACCGACTGAAGAAAGAATTGCATCAGAGTAGAATATATGAAGAACCTAACGACTAATATACCTGAAAACCAAACATTGCTTGTAGCCAATCAAGAAGATCTTCATCTGCCTTCTTCACATGGTCCTTGGGCCATGGTAAGCCCCTAGTATTGCGAAGAGCACCAACAGCAGCTTGAATCTACATGTTTCAAACTGATACGTTATGTGGTTTCTTTAGATCATTTCCTACAGTTGAGGTTTCATGTAATTATATGCATATTATTAGTACATGTATAGAGAGAGAGATACCTCAGGATAACGCATGATAGCCTGGTTTGCACTATCAGGATCGAGAGGAAGAATATTGTATGGCACTAATATCTTTGTTTTCTCCTCAACCTTGGTGTGTGTTTCTAAAATCTACAAGAAAGAAGCAATGTCGAGCACTGAATTGTATATACCTCAGCATCCTAAATGTGAATCAAAACTAAGCATCCTAAATGTGAATCAAAACTAAACATCCTAAATGTGAATCGCATATGCTTTCAGTTACCTCATTATCAACTTCAAGTGACTGAGTCAGGTTGACAGCCCTTAGAACCTCAAATAGGACAGCAGCAGTTTGGTACGCTTTAGTAAGTCGAGCACTGAATAAAAGGGGGAAAAGGAAAGATAGAATACGCAAAAAAAAAAGTAAGTATAAAGGGAAAGTAACAGAAAATGTCAAAACAAGGCTTCTATTCCAAAAGCCAATTGATCAGCATCCATTGATATAATCAAATTGACTTACCGATCAGCCTTATCAGCAGCACTTTGCAGTGCTTGAATATATTCTTTGTAGTAATTCTTATAAAAGCTACGCATTTCTTGTGCATCGCTGGTCCTGCCCCTTTCCCTTAGAGTGGGTTCATTATCCTTAAAAAGTAGAAATTGGTTCAGTACAGGCATAGGAAATCTGATAGACCATGGATGCATTTTTTACAGACATTTTTCATTGATTATTTTTTAAACAGCTCTTAGAAAAATGCAAGAAACATGGTATTAACAGATCAAATGCTAAAAGAACTTTAAAGAAATTCAATTAGCATCAGTCCAGACTGGTAATGTATTTGTATAAATTATGAGAAAAAGCACAATTGCATCAACGCTGTTAACTTTTATAAATTCGTAATGCCATGTCATACATGAAAATAGTCCAATTACTATTACTATAATATATGATGATTTAAACAATATGAGTACCTCAAAAGCATAATCTTCGACTAGCAATTTATTGGACGATATGCAAAGCAATCATCTTAGAATCTTCTACATCAATATGATGGGTCTTGTTTGGAACCTCCAGCCAATTAATAAAAAGAAACTTGGAGCAAGCCAATATAATCCTATAGGTTTCCTCCAAACTCGAGTTTCACATACAAACAACAAAGTCAAAGCAATCACACCTCAGTATGATGGGTATTGTTTGGGACTTACTAGGTCCAGCCAATTCAGAAAGTAACTTGGCCAATCGCATTAAAATTCAATTCGCCTCCTCCAATCTCAAGTTTAGAAACACCATGTACACATAAGCTAACATTCAGCACATTACCATAAAATAGAACAATAATGGCAATTATATATAAAATTATATGTTATATACATTCACGTACCTATACGAACTTGCATATGTATGTAGAAAGGGTACTCTCTGTTTAAACGAGCTTAAACTGAACAATACAGTTGGATCTACCTACCTGCTAACTGATTTTTAACATATTATGGTGAGGCTGTCTTCCCTCATTAGCTTTCTCAACTGAGTCATGCTCCATAACTGAGCCATGCTGATTGAACAAGTGTAGACTATAATAATGATATTGGTAATGTTCAGGTTCACCACCTATCTAGTATAGTAGTCAACCTTAAGGTTCAATTCCAGATAATGTTTTACTGCACTATATAACTAACCACAAATGTGCAATAAGCAAAGCTTTATTGTGTACAAGTGGAAGAGGAATCTCAAGTCATAGAAGAATGGAAGCATTGTAGCATGCTGCAACATTCATACTAATATGAATATAAGAATGTGACAAGTGCTATCTAATGAACATCAAACCAAGAAACACACCAAAGCATATGAAAGGAACTGCATGTTAACTTAGAATAGATGAACATGTGTTACAAAATGTCCTAGAATAGATGAGCATGTGTTATAAAATGTCCTAGAAACAATGAACATTCATATCAGACTACAAGGCTATTGCCTCACATGATTATTACTGCCAACATGGATAGTCCCAGTTCAAACCTAATTATAAAGTTTTCTTAAGAACTTTTCTACTTCTTTCGACTGTATCATTTTCTCGTTATATGCCAAATTGCTAATGATGATAGCACACATCCTTGACTCAGCCTAAAGTATAGAAAACCTTCTTTAAGAGTAACAACCCTCTTTTTCTCAAAAAAAAAGAGTAACAACCCTCCAGTGACACCAAAAGTTTACGAAACATTTATTATTGTTGTATCCACAAAGAACGTGGAACACTATGACATAACTAATTAGTGTGCCCACTGAGAGAATGTATTCAAATAAAATGAGAAAAAATTATAATTCTAAAGACAAACCCTTTCCAATCTTTGCAAAAGTGCAGTCTTGAACTGACGAACACCACGCCCACTTGAAGTTGGATCCAATCTGTGAGCTTTCTCAAATGCATAAAACCTGCCTATTCACCAAAAGAAAGTTGGGAGTTATTTCTATCAAAAGATGAAATGTTGATTCAAGCAACAAATGCTTAAGTTGGCACATTACCCCCAAATTACATTATATTTTCTGCTAGTGCTTTTGAAAGCAAATATTCAGTAAATAATAAATTCTTTCAGATGTCCTATTCTTTCCTTCACCTAAAAGTAATGAGTTAGATAACACAAAAGATATACAAGGGTTTATAAGGAAAATTTCACAAAAGTAGGTTGAAAGTAAGAATCATTGATCGATGGCATGTTGATTATTGAGAATTGTGATCGAAAAAGTATCTGACAAAGAAACAACTCCATACAAAAAATTTCCAGACTAGCTGGGTAATTCACACCAAGCCGAACAAAGCCTTTAGCTCAAATTTTTGGTGTTGGCCAGTGTCATCTCGGGTGCACTGAGACTATCTCGTCGAGCATTCAGGCGCTTTGGGGTGCTACAATTGCACCCTGCATAAATTGCAGAGTGCAACATGTAAGCGAGGCGCTATTTTGTGATTTGATAAGCAAAATTATTTATGCTATCTTTCTCTGAATATCTATATTAAAATACATGGAAATTTTTGTCCAGATTGACATATGTATCAAAAAAAAGGTTTGTATTATTTGTCGCACTTCACTGAGGCGTGCGCATTGCCTTCCGTCTGGCGAGTGGTGCGTCCAAGGTGACTTTGCAAACCACATTGCATCCCGCGTCCTGATAACACAGGTGTTGTCTACATGAACCCTAAAGGACAGCCCGGTGCACGAAGCTCCTTCTATGCACGGGGTCTCCTGTGCAGGGGGTCCGGGAAGGGGTCAGACCACATTTGGACTACACGAATCCTTCTTCTCCGCTAAGCTCTACCATGGGTCTGCTCCTTCGTGAAGTTAGCTATCATATTCATCTTATTTGCTTCCAACCAAGATCTTTTAGGTCTACGCCTGCTCCTAGTCCTCCTTGTCTCATTAGCTATGATCTTATCACTTCTCCAACGTCTTACGAGTGCACTCATTTCTTACCACATACTTTAGTGCACAGTACAGCACAACTCACGCAGTAACAACAATCAAATAAACAACGGAAATAAGATGAAAGAGAGGGCTCACATAGATAAGCAACCCTAGGGTTCCTCAGCTCGACTTCATTAGCCACACGGAGGATCGGAGCGATCTCGACGAGCGACGACGGCACGACCTCGCTGTCGAACACCTCCCCCAAATTCCCCGTCGTCTGCGTCCTCAGCAGC